TTTTTTTTTTTTTTTTTTACTTTTTCCATGAACACATCTTTTGTAGATTAACACTCATCACTGTTGAAATCAGATGTGATTTCAAATGCACTGAAGTAGTAGTATTCAGGTCAGCTTGTGAAGCTTGTCAAAGTGTTGTGTAGAGGTTTGTCTTATGGTCTATAATGCACTGAAATGAGCCCTTATAATTCAGCAAAATGGCATGTGTGTAACCCGACACAGCATAAAGCAATAACCTCCCAATTTTGTTTTTACACTGCACATTATATTAGCACTTTTTTTCTTGGGTATATAAAAAAGGATAGCCTTATGTAAACTACTTTTCTAAATAATATATAATGCTTTGCAACCACTATGTGTTTGTGTTTATCTCCATTTAGCCAGAGGATGTGTGATTGGACATGACGCTAAGTAGTAGATTGTAGTAAGGATTTTGAAAAATGTCATTGTCTTTGGCTCAAAATATGCCTAACCAGAAGTTCTGGATTGGTTGTATCAGAATGTGATCTATGATCAGTTTTATTTTTCTTTGATTTGCAAAGGAACGTAGACACAAGGACAGATAAAAGCTGTGCCCATTTATGAATAAAACCCCTGCTTTGAAGGGCCATTGTACGTCATTTCACCCGCTGCGAGCTGTCAGAGCTATATTACATGGAAGTGCTCTCATTAATGAACTGAACCAACAAACTAAAGCTGTTCTTTCTTCAAGTGCCTTTTTCTGTCTCTCTCGACATTCAAGCTGCTTTGACGTTATTATGCGAGACTTTATTTTGGTTGTCTTACCTTTTTTCCCCCTCTGCAATTTGTACATGACTGAAAATGACCTTCTCTCCTAACATTATTATATAATTTGTGTATATATGTTTATAAATTAATGTGAAATCTATTCAATATGCTGTGGTCAGGTATTGTAAATACTGTCTTATAGCTGAGATTGTTTTCTCAATAAAATTGATTCAAATTAATCTCAATTGGGTTTTCATTTGTGGGGTTTCCAGGTGAATTTTGTTTTTGCGCAGATCCTAATCTTATCCACTAGGGGTGATCTGGTCATTTTTACTTCATTTCAAATGGACTACTTTTTTGTGCCCCCCACCCAAAAAAAATTTTTTTAGTCATATTGCACCTGTTTTTCCATTACTTTGATGTTATTCAATATTATCATAATGAACGAGTCCCACATAAGTTTAATTTTAGCAGAACTATACACCACAGGCAGTCTTATTGTTTGTAATCAGTAGATTTTATTTGAGATGGTATGTTGCAACGTAAAGTGCAATTTCAATACAAAGGAAGCATGTCCGTGTGCAGTGATGTACATTATATAATGTAGGAAGGGCACCATTGGTGCGGGACAGCATACATAAGCAAACTTTAAAACTTTTAAAGCTTGTATTAATCTCCCATCAGTTTATTGCCTCAGATGCCAAATCTGTTCTGTTCCCATTTTACAGAGGCTCATTTGGTGCTCAAGCTCAATACGAAAATTAAGTTGAGTTAAGTATCACTCCCATTATCATCTCCTATCATTAGTTTCATGTGTGTCTGTGTTGCAGAAACATTCTATCTGAGTGTCGTGGATCATGAAGATATTTCAGATGTTGAC